AACGAAGCACCGAAGCACACTGAACTGAAAATAAATTGAAATATAACTGAACTAGAACTGAACTAGAACTGAACTAGAACTGAACTAGAACTGAACTAGAACTGAACTAGAACTGAACTAGAACTGAACTAGAACTGAACTAGAACTGAACTAGAACTGAACTAGAACTGAACTAGAACTGAACTAGAACTGAACTAGAACTAACTAGAACTGAACTAGAACTGAACTAGAACTGAACTAGAACTGAACTAGAACTGAACTAGAACTGAACTAGAACTGAACTAGAACTGAACTAGAACTGAACTAGAACTGAACTAGAACTGAACTAGAACTGAACTAGAACTGAACTAGAACTGAACTAGAACTGAACTAGAACTGAACTAGAACTGAACTAGAACTGAACTAGAACTGAACTAGAACTGAACTAGAACTGAACTAGAACTGAACTAGAACTGAACTAGAACTGAACTAGAACTGAACTAGAACTGAACTAGAACTGAACTAGAACTGAACTAGAACTGAACTAGAACTGAACTAGAACTGAACTAGAACTGAACTAGAACTGAACTAGAACTGAACTAGAACTGAACTAGAACTGAACTAGAACTGAACTAGAACTGAACTAGAACTGAACTAGAACTGAACTAGAACTGAACTAGAACTGAACTAGAACTGAACTAGAACTGAACTAGAACTGAACTAGAACTGAACTAGAACTGAACTAGAACTGAACTAGAACTGAACTAGAACTGAACTAGAATGAACTAGAACTGAACTAGAACTGAACTAGAACTGAACTAGAACTGAACTAGAACTGAACTAGAACTGAACTAGAACTGAACTAGAACTGAACTAGAACTGAACTAGAACTGAACTAGAACTGAACTAGAACTGAACTAGAACTGAACTAGAACTGAACTAGAACTGAACTAGAACTGAACTAGAACTGAACTAGAACTGAACTAGAACTGAACTAGAACTGAACTAGAACTGAACTAGAACTGAACTAGAACTGAACTAGAACTGAACTAGAACTGAACTAGAACTGAACTAGAACTGAACTAGAACTGAACTAGAACTGAACTAGAACTGAACTAGAACTGAACTAGAACTGAACTAGAACTGAACTAGAACTGAACTAGAACTGAACTAGAACTGAACTAGAACTGAACTAGAAACTGAACTAGAACTGAACTAGAACTGAACTAGAACTGAACTAGAACTGAACTAGAACTGAACTAGAACTGAACTAGAACTGAACTAGAACTGAACCAGAACTGAACTAGAACTGAACTAGAAACAGATTTAAACTACAACGCTGTTTTTTATTTCATCAATTAAGGATACTTCTCCATCTTAGTGAAACACAAGGACGCACCCACAAGTATCTACGACACATTCACACATATGTATATAGCCTACTCCTACTACAAACCACTTTCAAATTGTATCCATTTACACATTGTATGAATTTATTTCTTTTTCTTTCATATTGTTCTTGTAGTGTTTATTTATTGTTCTTGTTGTTGTTATTATTGCTGTTTTTATTTATTTTTTTCAGCTTTTTGTTCCAAACTTTTTAAGAGTACGTCGTCGTCATCATCAGCATTGATGTTGAGTAGTTGTTTGCTCCTTTGCAGCTCTGCGCCATCATCATACTGTGTTATTGTTGTCGTAGCTGGCTGTGGCATGAAGTGAAGTAAGTGTAGAGTGTGTTAGTGTGAGTCTGGGAGTGTATTGTAGCCTGTGGTGAAATGTGAATGAAACGCTTGTAAGTACGTGTAGATTTGTTGTTACTGATTGGCATTTGTAATTAGTCGAAAAGTAAATAAATAAAGAAACTTGATTTTTGTCTAATTTCTATTTTTCTATGTCTAATGACACCAGGCATGCTGTAACATGATTAATGAAGAAAAGAGTTTTATTTTCGTCTCGGGAAAGTATTTGTGTCACAAATTAAATGGCGGTGGCTATGATGGAGGTGGTAGCGGTAGTGGAGTCAGAAGGATAAGTAAAGCATATGATAAAATCTAAAATGAAGTGATTGTTTATTTAAGAAATTTAAACAAGAATTTCAAAAATTTTTAGAAAACTTTAATTGTCTTCAAAAAACTTTATTACGGTGTGTATTAGGTAAAGCAAAAACGCGTAAAAAGAAAAAGTTAAGTGAAGTATGAATAAAAATAAATTGCTTAAATTCACTAAACTAAATGGTAAACATGTTTAATACTAACTTACTTAAATATTCCAAACACATTGTACAATTTCGCCATAATATATATTTACATGATGAAAATATTATAAATAAATACTTATACGCCTCCGCTATCCGTTAACAGTTTCACTCTTTCTTCTTGCCACCAACAACTGCAGCATGTTCATATGTATGTGTGTTGTATATATGAATGATTTTGCATGCTTGTATTTGTTGTTTTTGCTACTTGTATTAGTTTGTTAGTTAATTTGTATTTGTTTATGGCTTTTGGTGGCATTAGTCATGCCAATAAATTACAATCAATGCAAAGGCAGCATTAGTGGCCTCTAAATGTATACAATTTAGATTTCGACCATTGTTTGCTTTAAGCCCCCCAAAATAATAATAATAATAATGATGACCCTTGTATGTGTCTGGGTAAATGGATACAAACAAATGATGCACATGAATAAATTCATGATTATTAAAACTTGAGCAGCTGATTTCTGGGGAAGGAGTGTTCAGCAGTTATGTATCAGCATATTTAGTATTAAGTTGCAAAAATACAAATTTGTCTTAGAAAAATACGTGTCTTTAAAAAGTTTATAATTGAACTAGAAGAATTTTTTTAGTTTAAATATTTCTTTAACTTTTGAAACCTCGTTTTAATAGTAAACATTATTAAATTTTTCAAACCCTAATTGTATGCCATGAATTTTGCATTTAAACTTCACAGAAATGGACATGTTAATACGATTGAACTTTCACATTTTATTTTGTAATTTCGTTCAATATATTTTAGATCCATTTAAGTATATGGCGGTTTCATGTTTAGTGACCCAACTTTTGAAACCGATGTCTTCCGATCGGTATGAAATTTTCACCACAGTCCTACTTTCATGTGATTTGGACACAATTTGTCAGAGGGGTAACATTTTTACCCTACTACCTTATTACCTATTGTTCTAGGCAAAATTTATTCCAATAGTTATGATAGCTATTTCTTCAATCTTTCGGGAAAACAATTTAAAAAAAAAAAATAAAATAAACTTTTGTTGACTTTTTTCCAAAATTAAAAATTGTTCTTGATTTTGCGCCCTTTTTTTATCAAAAGAAAGCTTTTCCCTGTAAAGCTTGTAGATCGCTTAGTGGGATATTTTTTAATTTTTGTTTTCGAGGGATTATATTCAATATCCGCTATCTCTCATTTCTATGAAAAACTATCTATCTATTGGTTATTTAAGAATGTTCATAGAAAATTGTACTCTACTACCTGTTCTTCTCTTATGAGTAGAAATGAACCGATTGGCTAAAGTGGGCGTGGCAACTCTCATAAAAAGAAAATATTAAAACAGTAAAGCTAAGAAAATATAACAGTTAGATTCCTAACGGATCCACTTTAGTATCATTATGAATATTTAAAACAAAAATAGGGGGCGTGGCACTTCCCTCATGAATTAAATACATATATCTGGGAAACCATCAGAGCTAGAATTCTCAAATTTTGTACAGGCGACATTAAAATCCATATGAACAATTTGGGGGAAATGTTCGAACTAGAAATTGGGGCGTGGCACCTTCCATATGCATTAAAGCAAAAATTCCTTTATCTGGGAAACTATTGGAGCTAGAATTTTTTCAAATTTTGCACGAACAACTTTGAGATTCATGTAAACAATTGAGTAATAAGTTGACGGTTTATCAATAGTGGGCGTGTCACCTCCCATATGAATTAAGTGCAAAAAATTCGTGTATCTGGGAAACCGCAAAAGCAAGAATACTCAAACTTTGCACGAGCAGCATTGAAATACATATAAACATTTTGAGAAATGGGTGAACTATTGTAGGGCGTTACACCTCCCATATGAATTTTATACTAAAGTGAATATAAAATTTAATTATATTATTTTAAGGGTAATGAAGAACACTGGGTAGAGATAGTATTTGTTGAGATAGAGTATATTGTTTTAAAAGCCATTAAGAAACTTCAACAGGTCAGTAGTATTAACAAAATCGAAGCAAAATAAACTTAAATGAATGACACGTCAAAAGAACAAAAGAATAAAATTCGAAATTAAGATGATTCCATGAATATAATTAACCTAATGAATAGTTTGTTAGTAAACAATTTATGTTTTATTTTAAGTATTAATAAAGATACTTAAAGTAAAATGGGAGAGATCATTATTGAATTATTTCACTCTCTAACAGATAAATTAATGGTTACCTACCAAATGTAATTTAAATTCATTTGAAATTAAATATTAATTTATTTAATACTTATATATCTACCCATTATTTATAGTTACTAAAAATTTGCTAATTCATTAACATTGACGTATGCCAGTTTGTATATGTATTATTAAAATATTGCCGAAAAGCAAACCTGATTTTAAGAAAATTTTTTGACAAAATAAATAAAAATATACAAATCATGGCAAACAAACACGTGAATAGTTTATGGCAATAAAAACAAATCAATTTAAACATTTTAAAATAAATTTTTTTAAATAAAAATCTTAAAAGCAATATTTTAGCCATAACTACTCTTGTTGCCAAAAGTAGAACAACATATTAATCTGTTAACAGCAAAGAAAGAAGATAATAGAAAAGAACACAAAATTAAGTGTTTTAAGCGAAAAAAAAACTTTTTAAGCACACTGTACTGATCTGTTGTTTTATTTATATTTCATCAAATTAACCATAAATCTTGTTTTAATTTGTTGAATTTTAATGCTAGAGTTTGTTTCTTTTTTACAAAAACAAATTTATATTTTTAACAAAATTATTCCAGTAGTTTAATTAGTCGATAACAACAACTCTAAGAAGAAGGTTGGAAGTTTTAGTTTTAACAAATACCAAAGAAACACAAATAACAAATGTTAACTTTTAAATTCTATTGTTTAACAATATTTATCTGTTGTCTATATTGTTTACAAAATGTACAAAGTGATTTACAAATTTCACCAGAAGATATGGAATATGCTGTCACACGTATTTCGAGTAGACAAAGAGCTGTACATTTGAAAAGTCCGCCATATTTTGGACATGCAACCAAATTTAATTTACAAACTCTAATTGAAGGAAAATTCAAAACAAAACAACAACAGCCACAACATGATGTTGAGGACATGCCACAAACTGCAGCACACAATGAAGAAATACTTAGTGGTAACACAAATAACTACAAACTAAATAAAAAATATGTTAACAAGAAAGTGGAGGCAAATGCACAGTCATCAACTTTAAGCCAACAACATGAAATTAAATCAAATGAAGGAGATCTAGAGAAACGGGAACCAACGCAACAGCAGCTAGAAAAAGTAGAGGCGAAACCAGTAATACAAAATGTTGTTAATCAACCACATAATCATCAAAATCAGCAACATTTAACAGTCAATCAAGTTGAAGTGAAGCAACAGCTGTTGCCGCCGACGCCGCATCATTTTAAATTGTTAAATGTGGTGAATCATAGAAATAAACGACAGACTCATGCTGGGAACAGCAATAATAACAATAACAATGGCAATCAACAACAGCAGCAATACTCCACAATTACCATTCAATATTATCCACAGCAGCAGGAACGAACAGTCGTCGAATACCAGCTGCAAGAACAGAAACCACAACAATATCAATTACAATACTATCAACCAAGTCAGAGTCCCAACCAGCAACAATTTCAACAAAATTACAACAATATTGAACTAATTGTAAATGGAAATAGTTTGTCAACATTTCCACAATCAACAACAGAAATAATGGCAGCTATGACACTACCAATCCCTTTACCAATAGTAACATCAACACCTAAACCCTTACCAGCATTTACAACATTAATCACTAACTCTCCACTATCTCCAGCTTTGTCTACTTCCTCAATGGACAATTCTATTAAACCTCTCTTGCCTCTAGAAGTAATGTAAGTTTTTTTCTTCTTCTAAACAAATACTAATTCGTAAGAAAAAATTCCCTTTAATTTTTGTTTTATTTGTTCTTAATCAATAGTAAAGACGTAAATGCCGACAATACCACTCTACCTCCAGCCACTGTTTGTAAAATATGTTGTATAACAAATGAATTTCCTTGCTCGAGCTGCTGTACACCTCTATTAAATGCTCAAACTTTAAAAACTTTGGGTGGTTAGTTTGCTCATCTTTTGAATCCAATTGAAATTCATTTAAGAATTGCATTTATGTAAATTAGCTAATAAGATATTCTATAGTATTTTTAAGATATTAGTCTTTTTAAGTATTAAGTAATCATGAGAATTTTGCTCACCTGTTTAATAAAATTAATTTAAAGAATTTTAACTTAATATCACATTGTTTGCCATACCCACTAAGCGGTGATCGCCACCAATAGATATAACGGGCCGAAATCAACTGATTACATATACATAAGCAATATGAAATATAATGAATTAAAGTAAACATTACAACAGCTTAATATTAAGATTTAA